CTACAGTTTAAAAAATAAAAATAAATAAACCATATTTTTAATATAGATTTCTTTTAAACTCTTCACAAATGTCTTTGCTGTTTCATTCAAAGGAAAAAAACTGTAAATGTAACACTATGAAGAGTAAATGAAATATTGTTTCAATATTGTTTCATCTGCAGCATCTCAGAAGTTCTTGCAGGAGTCTAAATGAAAAGGTTGACCAGATTAATTTAAAAATTAATACAAATCACAGTTCAAGATAATACATCTTGAACTGAGAACCTGCATTCTCTAAAACGCATAAGTCACTCTTATTGGATTCATATTTGATTATTAATTGCTGATGCAATGTACTGTAATTGTTCATATTTTTTGGGGGAGGGGAACAGAGTTATTTCACTATTTACATGCTAATTTTATAAAATGATAGCATAGTTCAGTGAAGAACTGGTTACAGCAATTGCAAAATTTATTATGTGAAGAATATAATTTGGAAAAAATGTCACCCTATGCATTGTTTTGCACGAAAATAAACCAAGTCAAGAGACTTTCTTAATGTTATATTTGCTTGCATTTTATCCATATTTATTTGTCCTTTTCTCCAAGCTAAACTCCACTCTTTTACCATGCTCTTATATGCAATACATTACAGCATTAATTAAGAGTATAGTTATTTAAAATTGTAATTCCCCACGTCAAAGTTCATTTTTTAAAATAGTCAGCACTTGTCCTGGTTACTTAAAACTTAGCATACTTTTAAGTTCCTCATACTGGAGTGGCAAAAACCTGTATTCCTGAATTCAGATCCTCTTTTCACTTACATTTTCTGTTTGTGTGTGAATTAACACCTTCTCTCTTCACTGATTAAATACTGTTTAAATAATCTTATGCTATTAAAACATACATAAATGAAAATGCCAAACTTTTCATTGAAATACATATTCAGTGCCTATACAAACAGTGAGAGTTTTTTTTTTCTTCTTATACAGGGGCATAGTATTAATGCATTAAGTATCCCAGCTATCTTTCAGTGACAAAATTCACAATTTCATTTTATGCTTCTCAAAAATACAAGTAACAAAGAAAAAAGTTTAAAATAGTCCTACAAATGCAAATGGGGAAAAGATCATCGTTCTGCTATTTAATCTGCAAGGCACTCGGAAAGACATGTTTAGAATAGCTAAGATTTACTTTTTACCTTCTTGGGTCATGTCAGATTTTACAACAGTAAGATTCTCTTTCAAGTCTACTCCTTCTCCAGATTTAACAGTTTCTTCAGAACCATCTGCTTCTTTGTCACTAGTAAGTTCTTGGAAATCTGCTGTAGCTATGAAAACATTAAATTGATAGAAATCTACATCAATAAAAAAATCGACCCCCCAGCACACCTGGGCACTCTCCCATCCCTTGCAACAGGCAAGATTAGTAGACAGTAGCCTGCGAGAAGCAAATGGCTCTACCTGTGTCTGTATTTAATTAGGCTGCCTGCTTTGACTTTAGTAAAGTTTTTGACACTGTCTCTCATAACATCTTCATAGGCAACTAATGAAGTATGAGCTACGTGAGCAGACAACGAGGTGCACTGAGGACTCATTCTAAGTGGTGCCAAGTAATAGGAAAAGAGGCAATGGGCACAAACTGGAACACAGAAAGGACACTCTGAACATAAGGAAAAGCTTCCTTTATGTGAGGGTTACAGAGCACCAGAACAAGTTGCCCAGACAGTCTCCATCCTTGGAGATGTTCAAAAATACAGGATCTTGGAAGGTCTACTCTAGGTGACTCTGCTGGAACAAGGCAGTTGGACTTGGTTATCTCCAGCAGTCCCAACATCCGTGATTCTTAATCATCAGTGCTTGCAACAGGAGCTTATAAAGCTTCCTCACATGCTTGTGACCTTCAGCTCCAGGACATTTATACTTAATAATCTCAAAAGCATTCAGTTCTGCTCAGCTATTGCTTTCACTTCATGATCTTCTAGTTCAAATTTAACATATAATATCAACAACAGTTTCTGCAGTATTTTAAAACAGTATAAAACATTCACAAGTGAAAGAAATTGCTTTAGTTAAATAAAAAAAAAGCAAATAATACAGCTTTAAAGACCATGGAACACCTTAATCACCTTGTTCTTGTGGCACCTCTTCTAATTCAAATCTAGCTTTCTTTGCTTTTTGGGATGTTTTTATTGCATCCTTTTGCATTTTATTTTTCTTTTCTCTTGATTCTTCCATGTGGAGTTGAATTAGCTTGGCCATGTCAAGAACCTAACAAAGTTATTTGAAAAAGAAAAAAAAATACAGGAGACAGCACCTGATCCAACAGCTATATAGTAAAATGAGTTTGGAAATGCTCCACATATTTCAGAAAAAAATTACGTATAGTTCAAGCACAGTTGTGTAAAAAGTAATTTCCAATTTCTAATGCAATTTAACTCAGATACAACAGATACTTATCATATTCTTATGTTAAAACATATAAATTTGACATATAAATGTTTGTCTGCATCTCACACAGGGGAGAAATGAGACTTTTCTATGAGTGAATTTCACTGAATTAGTATATTTCCTCTGTAATATTTCCATTTACAACGTGTATGACCCACCATCAATCAAACTGGCTCCAGGGTCTCAGGTGATCCCCTTGTTACAAAAGGCATTTATATACTCACCTTTCCATGGTATTTGTTTGCAATCAGGTTACAAACGGTTGTTCTTCCAGACAATGGGGGGCCAAATACTAGTACTTTACAAGGAGGAAGTGGCATTGGTGGTAACAAGTAAGGCCGTGGATTCAACATAAATGCTTTCAATGCATCTGAGGAGGACAGTACATACATTTTCCCTAGAAAACTTAAAACAAACAAACGAACTTAAGTCAACAACTATAGACAGTTATCTTATGGAATGGAAATAAGAATAAGTAGTTTCAAATTTCACTAACCTGACAGCCAAGTCTGGTATCCCCATTACGATATCACCCTCCTTAAGAGCCACAGGACATGCTTGTCCCCACCTGCTTCTACGCCATCGGTATCTGTTTGCAATTAGTTTGCAAGATGAGAGAACCCGGAAAAGTTCATCCTGTTTATTAAAATAGTAATAATAAAATGTATATATATTTTTTCTAAATGACATGTTGTAATAATAATATGTTGTATAACTTGGTCTTTTTTAAAAAAATATTCTGCTGGAAAACAACCAAACATAATAAAACTATGCATTTTGTCTAATAGAAGTTTTAAAGAAAGACGTTCAATAGTGAGTAAGCCATAGAGTTTACAGTGATGTTAAATTATTCATAATGGTAAGGAAAAGTGCTGGCTGTGAAGAACTGAAGAAGGACCTTTAAAGACTACGAAGCTGGGCATTAAAACAGTTAACATTAAATCAGTGGACAGCGAGTTAGAAAAAGCCAGTTCTACTGAGGGAAGTAATTCTATGTATTCTATATAATGAAGCTGCAGAACTTTGAATGGACACTGTGGATACTAAATTTTCATCAGCACAAGTAAGCACTTGACAAATTGAAGATTCAAATTAATAGATACATTGACAGCTATTAAACATATAAACTAAAAAAATAAATACAGACATAATGTGGCACAAAAAATCCTTCACTTGTGAATTTGATGGGTACTAGGGTAAAAAGATTTTTTTTTATGCTCTGAAAGCATAACCACAATCAACAGGGTCTCCTCAGTTACAATACCATGTATATATTTGAAGTTGTGGCGAAGAAATGAAAAAGATAAAAGCAGGTGATTATAGGTGAATATATGTACTCACTGACTTCTGTTTTTATTGGAAAAGGCAGAAAACATTATTGATATGGTTCAGGCAAAATTCAACACTAATTTGTCTTATTTCTACTAAATTACAGAAAATAAAATGTATGTGTTTTCAGCTATGCCGGATGCTGCTATATGTGCATTAGCATGATACATTTGTCTTTCGGGAAATATTTAAGCCTGAGATAAGAGTCAGCTGCAGAGATTATTATCTTTTGGCCAAATTTTCTTTATTTCCCTGGAAGTAATTCACCCTCATTCCATTGTTAAACAAACATTTGTTCAAAATTTTACCATAAAGATATAAATTCTTAAAAAAAAAATAATTTTTTACATGCTGCTTTAGCTGAATTTCAGTTCTGGAGTTGTCTTAAGTTCACATTTCTGGAAAATCAAGACTCAACAATGTCCATATTACATGATAAAACAAATTGCTTGCAATGAAACAAATATAGCAGAGAATAAAAAAATATATTTCTATAATGATTAAATTTTACAAAAAAATTACACTTACATTTTCCAGTCCCTCTAATGTTTCCTCTTGCTGACTCTGAAGTCTAGTTATAGGAGCTGCATTTTGAACACCCATAGATCGAAGTCGGGCTACCACTGACTGAAGAGAAAACAACTCTTGACAAAGTACTAGTCAAAATTGTTTTTATGATCTGAAAGGACCACATATTTTTGGTTTTGGCTTTATTATTACTAGTTATTTCTAGTATAATGGCCACATATACATTAAGACCCAAGTTTCAGCTTGGGGCCATGTTTGTTACTCAGCTCCTTCAAGCTATTTAGTAGATAAAGACAGTACAAAATGATGAATGAAAACCTTCATAGTTCTGCCTTTATATGCTGTGAATCCCTAACCTTCCAAAGGGACAGACTGAAGGATACTCTCCCACTAAGCAGTGGAAGCATTCAGAGGAGCTCCACTCTGCCAGTAGGGTTGGAAAAGTTAGGGATGGAAAATGTCTCCAGGAGATCAGATTATTACACAGGCTTGGTGACAACTTTGTGATATTTGTTATAAAAAGCATTTAAATGAGAAGTCTGCCAATGAGAAGCAGGTGATATTATATTTAACTGAAACATTTCTTAAATGTAACTTTGCTTGATTGCAAGTATTCTTAAAATGAAAAAGTGACTTTTGTCATAACTGGGCTAGCTTCACAACATGTCTTTGCCTTACACACAGGTAAAATGGTTGTGCTTACTACACACCTGTACTGTTTTTAGTATAAATCTTCTGCTGTGATGCTGACAAACAGATCATAAATAATGAAATTTTCTCCTTCAGCAATTTTGTCTTTTGTCTCTGCAAAAATAGGTTTTTTCTCCTGTGTGTATAGGTCTATTCTTGATAATAAAACTAATTGTAAAATTAAATACTTGCAAAATTGTAACAGATTCCTTTCCAGCGAGGGAGGGAAATGTCCAGGGGCAGCTCACTTTCTACGTCATCAAAGGCAAACTCTTGCTTCTCCTTTTTCAAACCCATAATTTCTGATCTAATATAAAATAACTTATTTCTGAGACAGAAGGAGAGATTATCTTCAAAATTTATCATTACAATTTTTAACATGCAGAATATCATCATGCAGAAGCTCATCCTATATCATGAGCTAAAAATCTAGATACAAAGACTAGAAAGAAAAGAAAAAAAAATCTATTTCACTGTAAAGCAGTATCACTGACCATAAATATTTCTTCATTATTTCAGGCACCAACACACTAAACCAATTCAGTCAATGTCTCATTGAGAATGTTTTGATTTTGCATTGTCATCCATCTCTGTGTCTTTTCAGGGTGGCAGAGCCCTGGAACAGGCTGCCCAGAGATGTTGTGGAGTCTCCTTCTCTGGAATGAGACTCTGACTGGATGCCACCTTGCTTGAGCAGGGGGATTGGACTAGGTGATCTCTAGAGGTTCCATCCAACCTCAACCATTCTGTGATTTGACACTAACACGGGATATAAAGAACAAGAAATATATGGACATAGTACAAAATAGGTTGTAGTCTCCCTGGGAATATTCTTGTGTAACATATATGGAAACTTGGGCTGAGCGGCAAGGTATTGTTTTATATATTCCTTGTACTCTTTTAACGTAACAACAAAAGCAGGCATTTCAAATGTGATGTTTTGAAATCAATGAGTATTATCTTCAACTTACAACGTTGTCAACCTCATAATAATAATAAACCAGAATTGATTATTATTGTTAATGGAAGTTATTTAAGCTTGTGTATAGTTTACTTACTGCAAAGAGATCATTTGGTTGTTTATTTCCATCCAGTTCAATAAGATACAGAGAATCTTGCTCAGCCATCAAGTCCTATTTAAGAATGAAGACATTCTTCAGCTGAGTAAACAGTTAAACAGATAACATTCAAGCTTATTCTTTTCCTATAAATATCAAAAGCTGGACTCCTGTGGTCTAAAAGCTTTCCTGTGGACAACCAATTTACACTACACTGATCACTTAGCAGATTTTATAAGAAACATCTATTTTAATAAGCTATCAATAAATACAGAGAGAATTTCAAAATTAAAAATACAATGGCTTCAGAATTCAGATTAGAAAATTTATGTCAAACCCAAAGTAGCTACAAATAATCTAGATAAAGTAGCTGCTGGGAAGTGGTGATAATGTTAATCAACAGATATCTTGGAAATATCAGCCATGAGACCAAAGTTTTAATTTTTGTCCCAACTTTATATTTCCATAAATTGGGAGCAATATATTTGATTTTTTTTCTTATTTTCATTTTTTCTATCAGTAAATTATAAACTTTATTATAGACTATAGACATTATAGATTAAAATAGAGCTGCTGTGTCTGTTGTCTCTGGGAGGGAATCAAGAACACTCCATCCATTACTGAGAGATATTTGTCTACACCCAGCTCTGAAAAAGGCTACTGATGGTGACTACAACTTTCCTAAGTAACCTATTCATTACTCTTGTGGACAAAGTACATTTGCTAGCATCTAGTCTAAGTATACTACACTACAAATTAAATTATTTTTGCTGTCTTTGGTAGATAACAATTGACTGCTTCCTTGTAATATTCTTCTACCCAGAAAATAATAATTTGTGTTTTGCTTACATTCGGAATCACAGAACAATTAAGTTTGGAAAGGACCTGTGCTCATATGAGAAATGTTCCAATTCCAAAATCATCTTTGTAGCTCTACTCTGGACTCTATCTGGTAGAGTCCCTCTTGTACTGGGAGTCCAGAATTGGATCCAGCGCCCCAGATGTGGCCTTACCAAGGCTGAGCAGAGGGCAAGGATCACCTCCTTGGACCCACTGGCAACACTCTGCCTAATATCCTGCCACCTCAGGATAACAACAGCCTTCTTGGCAACAGGGGCACATTGCTGGCTCATGGCCAACTTACTGTCCACCAGGATGCCAAATATAGGGGCAGTATTAGTATTACTATTAGTATTCATATTATTATTAGCATTAGTACACTCTCGGTATTTCTTTTGTGCACTATACCATATTTATTAAATCAGTTTACAATTATTTCCAGACTGTCTAAAGTATTAAGGTCAATTATTTCACATGTTGTAGTTTGCACATTCAGTTTTCTCCCTAGCTGTAACATTTCATATTTATATTTCACACAAATATTTCTACTCTGTTTCATCCTAGAAAGCAAAGTCTGTCCTACAAAGTTATTCCTATCTATCCCAGTCCAGTGCAAAGTCAACATTTTATAAGCCTTTTTTTCTGTATTTAATTATCTAAGCCTCAAATTGATTTAGATCCCTGGGTTCATTCAATATTTTAGTGAACCACCAACTGCCTAAGTAAAATTTTTCAGCTACTGCTTTTCAAACTATTCCAAAATCCGTGTTTTACTCTCTGTGATCCGAGGACTATAACTCCCCCTTGTGAGTGTTTAAATATTCTTCTATCTGTGGTCACCATAGAAAGTTATTATATTTATCATACAATTAAATGGAGGCTTATGACATCAGTGAGGCATGTTTTCAAATGATGGTATATTTTGTGTTTTGTGACCACTTTTCTTGAAACTTCAACATATATAACACTAGAAAGACTGCAAAATCGTAAAATTTAAAAAAAGGGAAAATTCTCTGTTCCTTGAGAAGCAGAGTGTAGGCAACTAGTCCACGCCTCCCGCTATAGGCAAGAAGCTCTCTCTTCTGTCTTTCCTTGGAGATGTTGTAGCAGCAGCCATCCCTCAACAATGGACAAGAACTGCAAAGTCCTTTAGATCATCCTATAAACCTTGGGCAAGTGGTTTTGAAAAGAACAGAAGACAGACAGAGGGTAGAAAATCAGGTTCTAGGCCTAGAGAGAAAAACAATCTAGTAGAAAGCTGTAGAAATTATTCTGAAGATAAAACAAATGTATGGGCTAATTACTGGGTATATAAAACTCTAGGCAATGAAGCAGGTGAAGAAGGGAAACCTGTTCGAATAAACACGAAAGGTAGATTCCTTAGAAGATTGCATGCTAAATGGACTCTACTAATCATAGAATCATAGAATGCTTAGGGTTGGAAGGGACCTCTAGATAGTTATAATGTGCTTCAAACATCTTGCTTCCTAGGTTTAGCAAAATATTACTAGGGCATTTCTATTTTAAAACTCAAAATGCATTATTTTATCTTGATTCTAGACTACCAGCAACACCTACAAATGATAGCTATCTCATTCATTTCAGTATAAAATTCAAAACCTGCATGTATGTTGGACCATAACACGTGTCCACCTCCACAAAATAAATCTTAGTTCTCAAGAAAGCATGGAAATAGGGTAAGATATTTTAAACAATCTTCTGTTATGCAGCATCATAATATTTTGCTTTTTCTTACTTCCAAAGGATGGAGCATTATGTCCTTGTATATCTTAACTCTTTCCTCTGCATTTTCACGAATATCTTCAGGCCTCTGAACTAACTCAGGCAAAATTTTTGACATTTCAAATGGATCTTCTGCAATCTGAAAAATAAAAATTTAAATATTTCAAAATAAAGAAACAAAATAATCTACTAAACTATTTTTTTCTGTACTCAAAAGCTGACAGATAACATAGCTTCCCAGAAGATTACTGCAATGAGAATTTGCTAATCAGTGGTGATCCTTGTCCTGATGAAGTGCACTTGCTGGGAACTGATAGAAATGTGCCTGGAACTTGCATTGATTAGTCTTTGACCAACTTCAGAAACCAGTGCAACCTAATGAACGCGAAACTAAAATATATAAAAAAAAATCCCTATAATCTATTCATTGCATTCTAACACCAAAACAGGCTAACATCCCACAAATATTAATAAAAACATGCTATAACAATTGATATTAAGAACTCTCATATTTTTTTAGCCTAAAATTCCCTGAACTTGACTAACGACAGATGCTTATACAAAAGAACAGAGAACAGGACAATAGGGGGTCACCATTCTCCTGATACACTCTCTCAGCTTATGGCAACAGCTTAGTGTCTTCTAAGTTAGAAGCTGAATCCAAGACTAAGTACACAAAAACCACCACCTGCTCCCATTTAAAAAACTATTTAAACTTTATCCCAAATCTTTTAAAGTGGAATAGAATTAAAATTAGATTAGCAGTTGTTACCACTTCTTCTTCCTGCTCTTCCTGTTCTTCTTCACTCTCCTCCTTAAGCTCGTCTTTCATTTTCTTAAGTTTTTCAATAACATTAGGATCCCACTGGTTCTTCTGGTATAGCTGCCCTGAATCAGGGCGCTGTCTTTGCCCAGATAATCTTTTGCATAAGTCGAAGTCTGAACACTAGCAAGGAATGATTAAAAGGAAATCACATGTTTATTGTGGTGCTATAATAACACTAACTTCTTCCTCAAACTGCAGAATATGGGGCGCTGTTTGGTAAATATTTGGATTCTTAAACATCTTCTCAATAACTTCCAAGGCAGATATGAAACTTTCAACAGCAGCAAAGTTACTCAGTGCAAAGAAAGGCTTAATTACTTGCAGTTTTCTCTGTCAGTATTTTATATTTCACACCAGGAGCGCAGCCACTACTTACATGCATATTTTGCCATGCTAGCTATATGCAGGCATAGTTGATGCATAAAAGTCTTTTGCAGATAGGCTTGTGATTACTCTTGCAATCCATTCCAAAGCAGTTTGGTCTTGAGCAAGGTATCAATTTTACTAAGTGTCTGTGACCTCTCAGAGCTGTGCTATCACCCAAAAACATAGTAGCACTGAGTCAGAGGCTAAAGGCATTCAGCAGTTGGGAGCACAGCAAAAGTAAGCACAAGTCTTTCTATAAAGAGACATTCAAATACAAGTTTAGAGTTACATTAAACACAGATCAATTTGAATGTGATCTTAACATGGATATTTTGAAATTCCATTATGGAGTTTGAGGCAAACCAACAGCAAACCATCATTCCCAACTCTTAATGCCTACTCTCCAAACATATTGTGAGCAACCTAAGATAAAAAGAAAACCTTGTTAAATTCAGATTGTGACAGTAAGGGAAAAATGATTTCTACAGAGTAAAACAGAGCTATGACAGTTTCAAACAGTGAGTAAGATATAAAACAACTTGCTTTCTAACTCATATATGTGAACATTTTTTTCTGAAATTGTATAAGTAGACATGAAAGGCAGATTTACATGTACCCAAAAGAGTGATCCATAGTGATCATAATGTTCAAAGTTTTCCTGTAAACCTCTCTAAGTGGTTTTAGAAACTCAGCCTAAGAGAGGTCAGAGATTCTAACTCCTACTGAAGTTATAGGAAATGCTCACTCTTGTACATGATCAGAGCTTATAACATAACAAACTACTGTAATTCCATTCCTCTATAAAAGAGAAAAATATTCTTAATCCTCTATAAATATTATACTCAAATGTACAGGGGAAAATATTATCTTTTGATTTAGGGAGCATATGAGTCCACTAATAACTAGAAATACGACTAGCAAGCTATTAAAGATGACATTACCTTAATATTGATCAGGAAATCTGGTTTTAATTTTAGATTTTTTATTTTCTCTATTTGCTGTGAAACAGTCATGTATTCCTCTGAGAGAGAAGGAAATCCACAGAGAATATAACCTGTCAAATACAGTTTGTTAAATACATCTTTTGATTATGTCAAATATACTGAGCTGCTATATTCATTTCCTTTAAGTAAAACACCTACATACTGGGACACCTATCTACATAACCACTTACACAATATGATAAAAAACAAAACTGTGCACTGATATCTACTCCAGATGAAATAACAACATATAGATGCACCATATTCAGCTTAGCACAGGACTCTCAAAGTCTGTTAACTTAGTTAGGAAATTTAAAATTAGAAGGACTATGTGGACATTAATACTGAGATCGCCTGCTTCATGTGCTTAACATGGGCATTAGAGCAACTAAAATAAGCTTTTAGTGACTATTTTTGCCACTAAAAAGGCACTGTGAAAGGTGTTGCAGAAATGTAGCCAACTATGATACACAGCATTTCAACTAGGAGTTTAAGCACTATTTTTATTTATACGGGCTTCACTTCTCTGGCCAATAAATGGAGTCTGAACTCCTCCACGGGACATGCAGTACGCCTGCTTGTGTGGTTCTCTCAAAAGCAGATGCTAAGCACAGAGGAAGCCTAACGAGACACCTAGCCTGGCAAGCACCCAGTCATGATCCACAACACTGGGTCCTCTTGGCAAACAGACACCAGCTATACATGACAGACGTGGTCGTAATAACACTTCATTCCTAGCATTAGAGTGCTCATCCCCAGGGACATATGAATCCCTGGCCACTGTCCAGAGACAAGGTAAAAAAATGTGGAAGAGCAAGAGAGAGGATTATGTTTAGTCATTCCTCTGTGGAATGAAAATCCTGGATTCTAAATTGTTGACATATTGAGAACGTTTTAACTGATAGTGGGGTGTGGGTAGGCTGCACAGCCTCTGCTTGGCAATATGCCCTGCATAACAACAGCTGATATGAGAAGACTGTGAGGGTAAACAGTGTATGGGAATAGATGACCCCAAACTGCCTGTTCTGAGAGGGTTTTTGCCTCCAGTCTGATAATGCTGTGGGGAAATGAACAATGATAAGGGTTGCTTAAGACAACCATCAATCAGTAATTTCTTACCTACAATACCTTAAAATACAGGTATGCTTGCTATTTTCCAGTCCTTCAGTACCTGTGTTATTTTCGAGTGAAACACTGCTTAACTTAACAAACAGCTCAGCAGCTTCATATTTAACTCCTTGAGAGCTCTTAGAAATTAATTACTTTATTATAATAAATTATTTTGTTAAATTATTTACTGACTTACATTTTTGAATATTATTGCTTGTTCTAGCACTTCTAAATACCTCTGACACATCAGTATCCATTACATTACATGTTTATCTCCTAAATTAGAAGTGCATAAGTGAACAGAACAACCTCTTATTCTGCATGCTGTTTAGAAACACATATTTTAAAGTGTCACAAAAATCAAAAAGTGAAAAGTCCAAAACTCATCTTCTCCACGTATCTGTTTACAAAATCATTAGTGAAGAAATAATTACTAATGGGTGGATGAGTTTCTACCAAATGTCTACATGCATTATTAAAGCATTACGTTAAGATTATCCTTGTTAAACAAAGAGAAACCAGAATTAGAAATCATTTTGCTAAAATTGTTTTTGGAGTTCTAGTTGGTAGGAAACATTTTGAGGATGCAGGTTATTTTATTTCTTGTCACTTGGGAGATCTGTAATACGGAAAATAACTTGGCTGCAGGAACCAAAATTCTATGAACATGAGAGTCACATTTACAGTCGCTGTGGTCCTCTCTGACAGGTGCACATCAGGCATTCACCATCTCACTGACACTGAGAGTGGACCTGAGGCGACACCACCATCTCTTCCAGCTTTCATTGAAGTCCTGATCATATGGAGTAAGAGATTTACATGTCTGCTGCTACAAGGATGCATATTTTACAAAACTGATGCGAGTCTGTCTCCAGAGAAGGAACAAAACTCATCATACCCAAAAGTCCATACAAGTTTGCTAGTTCTCAGAGAAGAAGAGACATGATATCATCTGGCACTATGCTTGTCTATCTCTAACAATGGAAATTTTCAATAAAAGTAATCACTAGAAAAATAAACCATATTTTCCTTTACCTGCTTTCAATTTAAATCCCTGTTTCAACTTTAGTAAAGCAGTTTCAGACACTAGCAAGAACTACATGTAGCATTAATTTCAACATGCTCCAATTAATTCTTCTTTTGAGAAAAGATGATGTATTTCGATCACCAAAACCTGGTCTAGCTTAATGGAAAATAAATGAAGATGCTGAAAAACAAAACTTAATACTTTGCATTTTAAATAACTTATCTTTCTTCTTTTTCAGTATACTAAATGTTTAAAATATTTTTGCCAGTATTTTTTTTAATAGGAGTATTCAAGCCCAAATTTCTGTATTTGAAATTCCACATCTTTTCCCAACATTTAATACCAGCAAGTGAGGATCATAGAAAAATCATGGGTGAATTCATTCTTTTAGAATTAACACAGCATTGGATTAGCATGACACTTTTTGACTTCCTGTAGATTAACTAAGATCTACGCCATAACCTGAGAGTATTCTCAGTTTATAGATATTCCACAGCCTGAGGAACACAAGAAAAGGTGCTACAGTCTAATTGAAAATAAATAATATTAGAGCAGTAATGTAAACGAAGAGTGACAAAGTCAAGTTTTAGCAAGCATATTCTCAGACATTTAGGCTATAAATATATTTACCAAAATGAGCAACTTCTGGTGACTCAATCTTTTTCAGAATCATTTTTGTAACCAGTTCTTCAGGAACGCTTTGACCTCTAAACAGCAATTCTTGACACTAAAGTGGAAAGCAAAGCACAGTCTTTTATATTGTCCATGAGTTAAGAATATGACAAAACTTTCTATCACATTAAGATAAATTTCTTTTACCTTAAGCCCATCTTCTGTTTCTTCACGAATATTCTCTTGGATTACTTCTAAAGCTGAAGCAGCACATCAGACAAGAATGAAATTAAAACAATTTAATATTTTATATGGAGATGTACATTTACAAATGTACACACATATACATATATAGACACATGAGCATGCATGTGTGTTCCAGGCAAATTCTATGATGAAATAGCACAGAGCAGCAAGCCAGATTATTTCTGAATTAACAGCCACTATATTGATGGCCATTATTTTGTTTTGTCCATCTAAAATTTGATGCCTTCTGGAAATGTCCAGGTAGATGGTCTTTGAAAAAAATAGACCTATAAATACTATAGGTAGATGCATCAATTCACATCATATTAACATTACTGCTGAGAAGTCTGGAGAGGAATTTTTGAGCTTGAACACTTCCAAAAAGACAACTGTTCAAACACATAAAAAATCTGCCTTAAACATAACTTTTTAAAACCTACTCCCTATATGGTGTAATTATCTAAAATTATCTAAAATTCATACTAAGTTTGAGACCACTGAAATTCAAAGACCCATCTTCTGCCCCTATGCATGACATTGATGTCATGTCGGAATGATCCTGCAAGTCTTTCATTTCTATATGCCATTAAAATAAGTACTCATAACATTTTCCAAAAACAACCCTTAAGGATGCATTCATATCATGAAATGAAACAAGCCAGGAAAATAAATAAATAAAAAAAGAGCTTAGAAAATACAATGAGGTCTTGTATTCTGGTGGAGGTGTGGTAGGAAAACTTAACTGCACCTTTTAAATGAGACATTTTTGTTTTAGAAATTTGGATGTACCAACTTCCATTCCTTACTTTGTATTTGTACTGCTACAAAAGCTAAGTCTCCGAGTCCTAGGTTTTGTCCCCATTGTGTTAGGCACTGTACAAACACAGAAAGGAAAGATCCTGCTATTTATTCACGATCTATATTAGCAAACCTCGATGCTCTCTGGACTTCAGTGAGTTGGCTACATTTCAAGAGAAGGGTCAACTGCTTCCATGAAAAAAAGATTATTTGGTCCTTCCCAGCCATCTTTAAAGAATCACTAACAAGTCATTTGAATTACAGGGATCAGAAAGGATATTCTAAAATAAAAATAGGAAATCAATGCAATGTTCTGAAAACAATGTAAGATTACCTTCTATGAAAGTGCATTTCCATATTTGTGCTAGTCTTCTAGCTAATGTTTTCCTTCCAGAACCCTTAAAAAATGAGAAACAAACATTCGTTTAAAAGTAAAACATCATGAAGGAAAAAAAAAAAAAAGGTATTACTACACATTAAAAATCATTTATTTGTATTGTAACAACAATTAAAAGCTACCAGCAAATTAGGGCCTCTGAGTTATGCACTGGACAAACACTCTTTTTAATACAACCCTGTTATACACTTCATAGCATTGCTAATACACTGTTACTCAACTGCAAAGGGGAGTACCTCCAAATTAATTATGCTGAGCTTGCCCCTGAATAACTCCATATGAAACTCAGCTATGATTTGTTCATAACTTCAAATGAGACACTCTCCAGGACTGAAATTTATCTTCTGCCTCTAAGCAAGGTATGATGAAAATCTTGCCAGCCATTGTCCAGCCATTTCTTAGTCCACAGATCTGTTTTGGATACTGGCAAATTGTTCATCTTTTCACATACAATAATCCTCAGGAATCTTAGCATTATAGCAAAGCCTCCATTAAATAATCTGCACCTACACCTGGCTATAGCTACAGGCATACCACATCACAGAGGCAGTGTCTATATTAGCTTTCCATGTGGTGCAAACAGAGCAGGACAGGGGCTTGATTTGGCCTGTTCATTTAAATATTTAATATCTTATCATTTAAATATTTAATACCTTATCTCATGACTGCAGATCAGTACATGGACTTTTAGGTTCTTCTGCGTCTATTTGCTTCCATAATTTGGAAAGTGTTTTAAAAATTAAAATACTAGTAATGTAAGTAAAATAAAAGCAATCCAGTTCCAAATATGAAAAGAGAGGAAATTTATTGAGCAAGCTGTGACTTTTAGTTACAGCAATACCACTTTTAATTTGGCTGGTCACAAAATTTATTTTAGACTCAATTAGACATTCATTTAATAGGGGGAAAGGAATTCCTTATGTTAGTTATCTTGCAAACACAGTTTACCTACTTATATCTATTTCTTAAATGAATCAGTTACTGAAAACTACTATGATTTCAATTCCTCTGTTTTAGGGAGAATTCATACAATATTTTTCAGCAAAGTAGAAAAGTTAAAAAAATAGGTCCTTAATCCTTTTGGCGGTATTACTAAACTAATGTTTTGAAAGGAAGAGTAAAATTATTAGTTGAATATTTGGAAAAGAAAAACAAAACTTATCAGGCATCTTACTGGTTTTCCAAAGACAACAAAGCAAGTGGGTTTGGACAACAGAAAGGATTTTTCAGCTTCATCTTCATCAAAGATGTCTGCAAAGGGCTGAGCTTCCACTTTCTCCTGTGAAACCATGAGTAATCTGAGAGGAAAAAAAAGTCTGTCATAAAACAGTAGTTTACATACGTGTGAATGACACACGTAGAAACCAAGCTGAGTAGTAATGTGCTACAAGGGGAACTACTTGGTAAGAAGGGCTGTTCTCAGAAGAAAAGGCCTGTATTGAACAGCATCATCACTGCTAAGAGAGGAGGCACTTCTGGAAAGTGAAGGATATCAGAATCACCCCCATCGCCAGGGTTATAAGGGCTTCCTCCTTTCACTCTCTATCTCTCTTTATTTTAGAATAAAATCCCACTTCAGGACAAAACAAACAAACAAAACCACAGAAACGTCTGAAAACGCCTTGAAAAATCGCCCATGCAGGACCTTAAGGTGCAAGAGCTTAACTAAAAGTGAACAAAACCGAGCAAAACCAAGGAAAAGGGGGGAAGGGGGACAAACCAAGACGCCCCCTCGACCCTCCCTCCGCTCCCGCGGTCCTTACGCTCAGCGGAGCGGGATGGGGGCGGGGGGTAACGGTCCCGCGCGCCTTGTGTATCCGCGTAACCACAGCAACTACAGGCCCCGCCCCTCGCCCCG